TATCATTATGCACATGCCAGTTACACTCTATAGCTAAACGAGTCAAGAACTCCCTAAACTCGTGTTGAAATGATTCTGCATCTAGTTCGGCGGCTTGTGGGCCTCGTTCTAATCTTGGATCTTTCTCTCCTTCTTCATGAGAAGGTTTTTTACTATCACTACTGGATTGTTCTCTCATGGGACCCTTATCGTGCGGCAGCTCACAACTAATAATATTTTCTAACCAACGAAACATTTCCTCCTTGAATCCTTCTTCTGACGCAATGCGATCTCACAACTCTTGTGGACTCGGATTCCCGACAATCCACAATAACATATGACAATGTAAAGTGCCTCTGCCTTGGGCTTCAACCATTCCGTAATACACCTGACAATGACCAAAAACGCCTGGGCCATGTTTATATTTCAAAATGATGTCGAGAAATGCCTGTATTTGCAAATCAAACGCAAGGGCTGCAGCATCGGGACGAGAAGCTACTACTTGGGCCCGCTCAAATGCAGACATCATCATCCATTCTTCGAGGTCTATATCTACTATCGAAGGAAGTACATGACTTGTCAAATCATGAGGATTCAGTGTCATGAACAGCGCCGGTGTGCAGAACTTTTTCATGAGCGAGCGGATTTCATTTCAATGACATAATTTATAGCCCACACTACCTCTCAAAGCTTTCGTAGACGATTGCAGACGATGTAAAAGACATGCAGCCTTTTTTTCCTGCATAGTAGAAGGCTTCTCATTAACTGAGCGTGTCCACTTCTCAGCTAGAGAAGTGAGTGATGGACCTAAAGCTTTCAGTTCGTTCGCTAAACTTTGTTGCTGAGATGCACATACCCGAAAATTAGTATTCATGCTTACTTCCTTTTTTTTGAATCATGTTCCAACAAATGAACGCGAAGTTCGCATCTTTTCAGAAAGGAGAATTGTCCTGACGCAACAAATTTCGAACCTGAGCTTCCATCGACAGATATTGCTTTGGTGTACGCCCACAATGATAAAATCCCCCAATGTCCCATGGGTCGAGATGGGGGAACAAATAAGACAATAGCCCAGTGAAGGTACAACAATTCAGATGGTGAGTCTGAACAATGTTGGGTCTTGCAGAACCTAGCTGCTATTTGACCCTAAAGGGTTTCTGGACCAGGCTCAAGACTCAGAGGAGAGGAAATGTCATAAAAACTGCTCAAGACTCAGACTCATACTGGTAACTGGTGAAAAGATAACTTTCTTATGTAAGCTACAAAAGTGCAAACATAACACTAAGGTAAAAACAGTCTCTGCAAGCCCAGCCAGAAATGAATCCCTACACCAGGGTCATTGTCTGCAACAAATTTTTCACCCGTATGAGACAAAAGAAACTGCTTGCGGTCCAATACGTATGCCAATGCTTGAAGTTTCATTTTTTCTCAACTTTGTGATGAATGGTCGCCTTGTGTATAACCCACTGCCTCCATAACTATGTCCCCAACAGGAGTGTCATCTGACAAATCTGAATCTCGCGCTTGAGGACCCTCGTGTGTGACATTAGCATTGACTTTACCTTCTCGTGGTAAATGACAAATCTCCAATGCAGCAGGCATGCTACAATCTAGGTTTGCATCGGTGTCTTCGAAAAGAGCGTCCATGTTGTTCTGACTATAAGCGACACCGCTCTTCTGATACCAGGGATTATTAGCGATTAAGAACTCAATCAACAAATGCACCCTACTCTTTGTAACGAGTATAGGCTGCATCTGTTTAACTGTCTCAGGAGAAGGGCGATGTGTCTGTCCGGTGAACACAACACACATAGCATCACGAAGTTCGTCGTGGCTAGGAGGCAAGAAGTTGCGAAGCTCTGTAGAGTCCTGCGGTCTTACAGCAACATTTCCCTTATTATATCGTTGAGAAGTTTCTTTGACGACATGATTGTGAGCCCTTGAGGGTTTGTAAGCATAAAAATGAGTGATTTGCGAAGCTCGCGCATGAGATACTAACATCAGATCAAAAGTGGACGCCTGAGCGAATGCATCACAAATTTCTGGTGGTAATCTCTCAACAGTGTAGTATTGAAAATTGGCCAATGAATTCACTGGCTGCCTCGGATGTTTCGAGACCAATGCTGCATAACACGATCGACACATAAAAAGATCAGACATTGACCAATGATTCTTCATACCTTTAGGATACAATATCGCTCTCTCATACAACTCAAGATCATAACTACATGGAAGAGTATGTTCGGGTAGACAATCATTGCGCAACAAGTGAAGAGGCACCTTCTTTACATCTACACACTGAAGGTCAGTCGCGAGAATATTATGAGCACAAACGGCACATGCACCGCGTGTCAACGCTTCCGGCTGCATTTTTGCTCGGTACTCCAAAACAATAGCGCGTTTGTCCTCAAAATCAAGCATAAGAGGGAAGTCAACAGAGCGGGATTCATCCGATGATCACATTTGACGGCTTGCAAAATGACGATCCGCGTCGCGACCCAAAATCTTGAGACATTGTGGCTCAGAGAGTGCGGCGCGTGCAACACGACGAGAAGTTGCCTCAACCTCACGAATACTAAATGGCTCAGGAAGAATTTGATTGGAAGAATCACAGCAAGGAGTCCTTAAGAGTTTGAAAACTACTAGATTAGAAAGACAAACGGCATCACAAACATGTATGCGTAATATATCACGGATATAATCCTTACGATGCAAAAGGAAGCCGCGAACTCCATGCGCCTGCGTGATGACAACATATTGCTCTTTAGTAAAGAGAGAAAAGTTGTCGATCAATTGCCATAGATTTGGTACGGCTACTGGCAGCAAATTGCCCACAGGATATTGCCTCAACGCCGATAGGCGCACTCGAGATATCTCGAAAACCCAAAATACTTGCGTAGAACACAGGATGACACCACAGACGTCCCATTGTCACAAAGTTCTTGATCCGAGACAACAAGGGAAACTGGAGGAAGCGATAATGAAGACGACGATGTCAACAAACTAGATGCCATGAAGTTAAAAATATGTGGGTGCAAACTTCAAAGAAAGAGAATTGATGGTAATGAGGGACGAAAAAAAGGAGATTATCAAGCCACAGATGACTAGGACATCCGGTACCAGGATTAAAACCAGCCCTGTGTGATCAGTGGGACAGACATTTAAATTTGCTAAACCAGTACCTATTCTAGGTCCTGGGATACAAAATTATGACGTCAGGAACCGAACGAAAGCAAGAGTACACCTTCGTTATACAAAACCCATAGGGGTGAACATCGTGGACACGGCAAACAGCAAGGAGGGTATCGTTACTGTGGCTGTGAGGGACCTTTATTTGCCTCTGCCACATTGTCCAGTTGCGCACTCCATTTTTGAGCGAGTTCGTTCTGGTGTTTTAGACTCCTGCCATGCCAATTCATCAGCACAAGACCCTGGACATGCAAGGAGGAAAAAAGAGGGAAGAGAAGGTCAACAAACGCAAACCTTGACTGATTTTCCAACTCCAACTCCAACTCCAACTCCAACTCCCTCTCCTTCGCCCCTTGCCTCTCCCTCTTATGCTTCTCCTCCCCCGCTTTCAACCTTGTCTCATACTCCTTCACCCTCGCCTCCCATTTCTAATCAGCTGTAGTCGTCTTTTGGTTTATGTTCGAAATCATTTCTTCGCTTAAGAGGAGCTGGTTTTGAACCACCACTAGGCATTTCTCAGCATTTACTGTGCAGGAAAGGTGCATCTTTGTTTCTTGGGAGTCGCCTTGGGTTGGTCGTCGGGATATCACTAGTTGCGAGGTTAATGCTGCGTTGGTGGCCTTAGCAAATGAGAGTAAGAGTATCAATCAAAGTCAACGTAAAATCAAAAACACTCATAAAACACCCACCTTCAACCCCTCAATCTCTCCTTCCTTTGCAGTAAACTTCCGTCTCCATGTAGCCTTTGCCTCACCATACACCTTTATGCTTGACTCGAACTTATCAATCTGTTTCCACTGCACATCAAGCTGCCTCCGCATCTCACCAAGCTACCCAGTAAATTTCCCTTCTGCATCTTTGACGAGCTTTTCGAAGTCGAGTTGGATTAGAGACAAAGCTTTGAGCCATGTGATGAGGTTGTTGTGAAAGACGCTGAAATTGGTGGAGGGCTTTGTTTCTGCTTGATCCTTTCTTCTGCAAAATAACATGATCTTGTGAGTGAATGACACGTGTTAGAGAGAAACAGAAGAACTCACGGGAGTCTTATCCATGCCGAGGATCTTATCCATGTATTGATATATCGTAAGCAGCAATGTATTTCGCTCTGTAAGCTGATCACGATACTGATTCTCAGCACTCAATAATGTCCGCTGGTCTTTAGACAACCGCATCTCCAGCTCATTCACTCTCGTCCTATACCCAAATGACTCTGCCTCAGCGGTCTTGAGACTGCTCTGCGCGCTGTCAAGCTTCTCTGAGAGACTGAGACGCGCTTGAGTTTGGGTGCTGAGCTGTGTGGTGAGCTGTTGTACTTCGAGCTGCAGTTTATGAATCAGATCTTCATGATCACGAGTCGTACCCTCTCAGTCACCGACATCTTTCCTCATACGAGATAGTTCGTCCTCTAAACGGTCGACATCACATTTCAGCCTGTCGACCTCTAGCTGCAATGAGAACCGCGCGGTCGTATGGGTCTCCCCGAGCTCTTTAGACCGTTGTTCCATATCCCGAAGCACATTTTGGACGGCTTCGAGGTCGCCTTGGCGTTGTGAGAGGAGAGACTGCGTGTGTGTGAGGTCATCGAGGGTGCTGCGCAGTGCAGAGTCTTTGTCTTCGAGTGCACGGCGTTCGCGTCGGAGCTCAGACTCGTGCGTCTTCTCGACATCGTCGAACTCGTGCTCAAGACTCTCCCGGGCTTCCTGTTCGCGTTTCACTTGAGTTACTAGGTCTTCGATGTGCCCTGCTAGTTCTTCCTGACGGGCTCGGTGTGCGTGCATGTCTTGAAGAGATTGGTCATAGAGTTCTTGGATGTCTTGGAGTTGGGATTTCAGTCCTGAGACTTTCTGTTGCAATATGTGAGCTTTTCAATTCGAGTGAGTGATGAAAATGGATGTACATATTTGAGCGCGAGATGCGAGTGCCTCTAGTGTTTCACGCTCGACTGCGTCCTCCTCTCTCTGACAGTTCGTGATCCTCAGCCATGCGATCTGCGTCTTCCTCGAGTGCATATACTTGCTTTCCGAGTTGCTCAATCTCCTCGTTCGCAGCGCTGGAGCTCGGCATCTTTCTCCTCTGCCTCTTGTTCGAGATGTGCGAGTGTGGCTTCGAACTTGGCATGCAGGTCGTTGGTATTGGCTTCGAGCTCTGTGAATATTGAGGCGGAGTTCTCTTGCTTCGTTTTCGCAGTTCTGCAAGGACCTATGTGATAGTGAGAGACAGAAGACAAATAGGACAATGAAACAAACATCTCTGAGTTCTTCAACCTGACTCCTGGCCTCTTCGACTTCACCCCTCCACTCCTCCTCGACGACATCAACGACGCGATCATGTTCCTGGATTAAATCGTCTATCTCCTTGTTCTTGAGCTCCAATTCGTCCTCCTTCTGTTGTAGCTCGATAGTGGCGGCAGCAAGTTTATCCCGAATTGAGTTGAGATCGTCCTCCACAGCCTCACGTTCCTCTATCTCCTCAAGTATTTGAGCCCGACTCTCGCTCCTCTCAATGCTTTCCGCTTCTCTCCGTCGTTGCAAATCCTCAACCTCCAGTTGTAACCGATCAGCATGGTCAACAAGTGCCTCATTCTCCTCCTCGCGTGCAATGAGAAGTTGATCGCGCTGCTCGAGCTCATGACGAAGTTCCTCATTCTCAGCACGCAGATCCTCGATTTTCCGTGCATAACTGGGATCTATGGAGTCGTCCTCACTGCGCTCAATGATAACCTGGGCCTTCCTCAACTCCCTGATCTCGTGCTCGCGCTCTTGAAGCTGCATCTCAAGATCGCGTTCCCGCTCGTGTAGCTGTGTCTCCAAGTCGCGTTCGCGTTCATGCAGCCGCGACTCCAGATCATGGTCGCGCGTCGAGCCACGCTGAAGACGCTCCAACTCGCGCTCAAGCTCCAAGACGAGTTTCTTCAGTTTCTTGATCTCAAGACCGCGTTGCTGGACCTCGATCTTGAGGTTGATGTTCTGTTTGAGAGCAGCATCGATCTGGTCAGGTGCAAGCTGCGCAAGACGCTCCTCGAGGAAATGAACGCGTAGTTTGATGTTAAAGTTTTCTTTTTTGAGAGAGTCGATGTGCTGTTGTGTAGGTTAGTTTAGATAGAGTCAGTGGGCGGCGGTGTTTAGTTTACCTTTTCTTGGTCTCTTAGAGATAAAGCAGCGCCTTTTCCTCCTGGTGCGCTTTGTCTTGGACGTCGTGCGCGTGGAAGGGGTGTGTCTGGGCCATCACCGTTGCTGGGGGCGGGTGATGAAATTGACGGGACACGGAGTGGTCTGCCGGGTGTACTGGGACCTGATACGAATGAACCGAGGGACAGATCCGGGTGAGTACCAGCAGAGATGTCTGCACCGTTTGGAACGGAAGACATGCACGTTGGGAGCACGGGGGGAGGGGCCTGATTACTAAGCAAAGACCATTCGTCCTTTATAGAAAAATGGGCTACGGTACCGTACTACCGACTCACGGACTCACGAATTCACTGATGATTGTATGCTGTCATTTTCGCATTGCACTAAGATGAGCTGATAGTATATGGCGCACAGTCCACTCCAACAAAATGGCTCATGCAGATCTCACAGGTGTAAGCAACTGTATGGTATGGAAATCACATCTTCATTTCCTCTTAGAGCAATGTACTCATCAATAGTGACGGAAGAACTCTTCTAGCAGACTATGGATTTTTGACTTACATGTTCTGACCTAACCTGGATCTCTCACATCGGGAGTAACGTACGATGGGCTGCTCCTGAGCTTTTCGAAGTTTCGGATGGCCGGTCTAATTTTTTCCAATTTTCCCAAATTTGACATACTTTGGTCTAGGTTTGCATCGGAGGGTTTTCCTGATGTTGAAGCTCTCGTACGTAAGTGCGACATTTCTTCGGAGTTGGGACTTTAGGTAGAGAATTGTGGTTAGCTGTGATGCTTCCACTAGACATGGCTGTTGCTGGCTGTGGTGGTGATTGTGCCCAGGAAGAATTTGTGAACTTTAAATGCGGGTGTAAGGAACAAAAGGCTTGATCGGCTCGAATCGGTCGTCCACATGGTTTGAAAGCCGATCCAAACTTCCAAATTTATTCTGTCGATGTCGATCATTGTCAGTTTCACCGACACACGTTCACTCTCAAAGCTTACATTCGACAATTGAGACACTCGCAAGTGCACTATATAGCGAGTCTTAGAATTCAGGGCGTATCAGGAAAATGCCAGAATGCAAGTTTGACTCCTGGCACCATGCCAATTCATACCGATAGTACAAGAAGCATCAATGATCATACCATTAATGCGACATGGTGTCGGCATAGATGGCCAAATATATTATTTATTCATTCCAACGTACCGTACGAATGTAACTGAGACATATATGCAACAATGATGCATCGATGGGTGGTGCCGGTGATTATAGACTGTGCATTGTTTGTTTGCAAGATCTGCGTGCTCGAACAATTTGAATGATTTACTGGCACTGATGGCCATTTTAAATATCCACTTATCTCCGAGTCTCTAAGAGAGCCAGACCAAAGCAATCCTATTCATCAACATACACATAAACGACAGAAGCAGACACGAGACGTAGTACTAGTACACATATGCGAGAACATTTCCAATAGCTCAGTGCTGACTTTGAACACTGCAAGGTCACTGTGGTACCTAACTAACCGGCGATTGGGGCGAGATTAGAAAGACGAATTAATTCCCACTGCTGGCGGGCAGTTCCTTCGTCGTAATTCTCGATTTTCACCTTGTGGACGTGATGAGCAAAAGGCTCGGAAAAAAATATTCATCAACTTACTGCATTGTTGGTCGAACTCGGAATGGACAGCACCAGGTTCGCGCTCCCGAGAGTGTAGTGCATACTGTATATGCCAGTCGTCAAATTAGCAAGAATAGGTTCCTGGGTGCTGGTCGGATTCTCACGTATAAGTATTGTCGTCGCGTGCAACAAGGTCGATGATGAACGCCTGCTTGGTATAAACGACTGGTACATCCGAATCCTGTCCACGTCTGCGTCAACCAACAAGCAAATGAATAAATGCAGGCCGATCCAGCATACCTCGCTCGCAGTAGCAAAGAATCCATTTCCATTGTTGCCGCTGTCGACGGTCTGAATGGTGACAGTCTTGTTGGGGGACCCTGGCTCGTTCTGCCTCTTGATCACCCACTAGTAGACGTGATGTGTGCAATGAGAATCGGTCACAAGATGGGTGCGAACGCGAATAGATACCTTTTGGGCCGTGTTGTTATCTGATGGATAGCCTTGAATCGGGGTGCCTTCAGTGGTGTTGTTGGCCGTGAGATCGAGCATGAGGTTTCTGCCAACGTTTCTGATAGAATACACTCCGTCGTTGGTGAAAGGCATTGTATAAGATGTAGGTCGCTAGTAGGATGATGATTCGACAATGTAATGAGAAATTGACAAAGAAAAGATCTTAGAATGCTGAGCTTTTATGCTGAGCATCCTCGGCTGTTTTCGACGAATGGGGCCAAGATGGTGCGGCGAACTTGAAAACAGAGAAATAATGGTGACAGAAGTCAAGAATCTGAGTGATAAGACTGCGCGCGACAATACTAATTCGGTGCTTTGAATTTGCGTACCATTCTTTCCAAATACTACTAGTAGTAGAAGATCTCCGCATCAGCGCTGTTATTATCATAGCCTGAATTCAATTGAATAAGAAAGCATAACAGGGGCCAACGGAGATTACAGCAGTGTGCGAAACTAATGGCAATCGCAGAAATTTCGCCACTTCCTTGACCAAAAAGGAAATCGATACAACAACGCGTCCCGGACGCGTATAGTAGGCTTTCTGCAGCTTGTACACATTTTCCAGGTGCTTTTAGCCCTTACTACTACCTTTACTATGTGTCATACCAATTTATCTGCCATGGCAAAAAGAAAGAAACTCACCCCAGTTCGGAAAAAGCCCACAATCAAGATCCCAGCCAGACCAGCGTGCAAGATGGCAGCTGCGCCTATTGACAAGAGCGCTGATGATGAACTGCTGGAGTTTCCAGAATCGCCTGCACCCTCTATGAGTGGTAATGCAGAGAGGGTCGGGCAGCTATCCAAGGCTGACTGGGCGGAAGAAAAAGTGCTAGAAGAAGAAGAAGATGGCGAGGAAGAACTTGATCAGCTGGAGGCTGAGCCCGGGCCTGAAGAAGAGCGTGGAAGTGATCAGTCCATAGAAATTACTGATGTGGATGCCATCGCCTCAGGTACTATATTGAAGCTTATCTTTTTCTCACTTGATCACTGAAAATCACATCACTCACAGCCTCAGGTCCTGCATTTGCATTCATCAATGTGGATTCAACATCTTTCAATGCTTCTCATAAGCGGAAGCGGGACTCCCCTGACCAGGCTGACCTTGTCTCAGCCGCTGGTGAAAGTTCGTTAGGGCCATCTCCGAACAAATACAAATACAATGAATTTGTACCGCAGGGCCGCCTCACTGATGAAGCCATCGATTGAATGCTGAGTGTCAAGAAGAAATCATCTGCGACTGCCAAAGGAAAGGGAAAGTCAACAAAGGCTAGTGTCGCAGCGAGTGATACTAGTGAAGATGAGGAGAGTGATGCACCAAGAAGGTTCACTGTATATGTCCAAGTGTGGTGTGAGATTGCACTGGCAGAAAAAAAATTGGCCAAGGGTGCCAAAGCATTGACTACGATCGTCTCCTGGGGCCCATTCAAAATGGATACAACCCGCACCTTCCAATCATTCAAACAGGACATTGCGAATGTTTTACCCTGTCGACTCACTATTGTTATGCACTCAAATAGATCTGTTAGGCGGAGCCCTAAGAGGGGCGTCGTCCGCTAACGTTCGTGATGTAACCGGAAGGATCCGGTATGGCAAGTGAGACTGGCGACGACGAGTCAGCAGCGATCACAGTACGCGCGTGTCACGTGACTTCGTAGATGGATGTCTTGAGAAGTCACTCGAGGTCAAGACTGTCTTGTCTAGATGATGAGGTCGATCGAGGTAGACTTAGTCGCGATGAGCAACTAAGAAAAGATACTAGAGACTGAATGCCAAAGGGGCGTTCAGAGAGGAGTATGTTCCAGGGAAGATTGAGTAGATTCAAGTTAGGGAATCTAGTACAGGGTGACCGACTACTTATACTAAGTGGAGAGGGTTAAGGGCAAGGCTACCGCACAGTAGGTAAGGGTAAAGGGGAAACGAGAATGGTATAGGTGCGTTGGCAACTGAGCCGGATTAGTGAGGGATGGTCGAATGTGGAATGAGACCGAGAAACGTTGGGACGATCCAACGGTAAGAATACAACGTGCGGGAATCCGCAGTCAGAGGAAACAGAAAAGGAAAGCCACATTGGTGGCACGAGTCAGGACCGAGTCAGAGGCGTGGGACCACGTCGGTGGTCGAATCAATGAAGGAACGTGCATGCACGTGCATAGAGGCGAATGAGGCGAGGGACGGGAACGGTCCCGAGGATCCGGTCAATGGAAAGTCGGTAAAGGAGGACGAGCCGGTAGGTGGTGAGGGCGAGGATGAAGGGAAAATGATAGGGGGGCCACGTGACCGATGTTACTTGTAACAACTATGCTTCCTGTCAGCAAGTTTGAGTGGAAGTTTGAAAACCAGGCCCAGAGCGCTCCACGCAAGAAGATAGCAGATGAAGTGGGTTATGAAGTGCTTCTTGATGCTGTCAAGGTGAAGCGAGCAGCTGAGAACATTGTTGTATGGTTATTCACCCCAAAGCCTGCTAAAGATGAACAAGTAAGTACTATGTTTGAGGTATTTCAGCTTCTTCAGGCTAACATAACATAAGGATTGGGATACAAGTGACCCAGACTACGTCGAGCGTCCATTCAACTTTGAAGAAGAAGCTGGTGTTGCATCATGTACTATGAAGTCATTGATTGTATGTGATGTTTGTACTAGATTTTGCTCTCACATCTGATAAACACTCCAAAGGATGATATGTCTACCAAATGAAGGAAGGCTGAGGCTGAACTCCATTCACTGTATCCAGTCGGCAGATACCCGCTTTTTCCCAACATGCATGTTTGGCATGACAAGAGGACAGACACATATTTTGAGTTGACCGAGATGTGCGTGAAGGTTTGGGCAAATTCCATTGTACGTCTCTTATTTTCATTGGCACATGAAGCTAAAAAAAAATGATGCTTTAGGCAGCAGGAAGAGCTGACATGTCAGCTCCTCCTACAACAAACCACTTTGCACAGAAGCTGAAGGTGCCACGTCCCCCGCCAGATGCCCCAATTTCAACATTTGGCGAATTCTATCATCATTGTCAATGGGAACAAACTCTTGAGGGTGCTGGCCAGGAACCAGTGCCTCCTCGACCCACACATGGGCACGTCATTCCTCCTCTTATGCCTCTACATCCACACGGAGTCGTCGGACAGTATGGTCCTCTGTTTCCTGGCCCACTTCATTTGCCTGGTCCTTCACATCAATTTTTTCATCCATCCCAGTATATGCCACCACCATACATTGGTGGATACCCATACCCACTACCTTATCATCCAGCTGCGCAAGGTCATGGGCAACTTACTGGCAAGGTACCCTCAGCATCATCATCACCTGGTTTGACAACTTCCCACGACATATCTCTGTCTGAGTTTTGTGCCAAGTATCACATTTTGGACAATGATCAAGCAAAGCTTGCAGCACTTGAATACCAGCTGGGAAATCGAGCAGTTGAGACACTTGATGACAAGGAATGGCGGGATGTGGGTTGATTTACAAGACTTGGCTGGCAGGCCTTTCTTGACGCACACAAGAAATTTTGCAGAGCGATAAAGTCTGGCACATGGGTAAACTGATTCTGTATTTCTCACATCACCTCTTGCAGACTTCTCGGACGTTCAAATAGCATTCATTTGCACCCAGTTTTATCACATCGAGGCATTCAAACTTGTACAATCATGAGCATTCTTGATCACACTCTTGTAGACTTTTTGGACATTTAAACAGCATTCATTCACACCCAGTTTTATCACATAAAACATTCAAAGTTGTACAATTACGAGCATTCTCGATCATGCGACAATGTACCCTGCATTCTTGAACCATCTGTATGCCTTCTCTGCTGTAATACAACTTGTTGCTTCAAGAAGGGCCTCAACCGGATCTTCAAGATGGCGCAACTGATGACCATGACGTCGAAGATGAGCTTTGACTGTCAACCGTGATGGATTAGATACAGAGATAACATGAATTTTTGTAACTTACAGGCACTGAATGACTCCTAGATCGGTGTCAAATCAGGCGAGTACAGAGGTAGGTAGAGTATCAGACAACCTATCCAATGTTAGTTTTATGAAGGGAGAAATAGTCACAAAAACAAACCGGCACTTTCGACAAGGTCAACAAGATCTTCATTATGATGGATCCTGCAATTATCAAGGACAATAACGGAATGCTCTCCAGGGAAGGGATGCATATGTGGAAGCTAGAAAATTTCATATCTTCAAGCTAAACAGGCACAGAAAGGATACATAATCACCACATCCTCGGCAATGAAGTCATAGAATTCCTGTGCGTCGAACGAACCTTCGACTACTTGAGCAGCAATGTATCCTTGCACGGTCATAGCAGCACACAATGAGTAACGATCGCCTCGAACAAAAACATCTGTGAGCTGTGCACGATCTCCACTCGGTGCTCGTCCATAATGTCGTGCATATGTCCGGTTATTCTTGCTCGTTTCATCAATGACAATGAATTCTGAGCCATCTCCGATAAAGTCCTTGCGAAGACTAGCTTTGAATTCCTCACGACGGACCTCATCACATTCGGAAGCCAGTTTTCGAAGGATTTTTCGAGTGAGACCAGCATCCTTGAGATTGCATGACAGGGTGGAAGTGCTGACAGTGATATTATGCTCAATTGTGAGCCATGTACAGACCTCATCAAGAAAAAGGTCAGAGTCCTCAGCGAAGAGATCCTTGACAGCCATCAGCAGGGCTTGCATTATTGTTCGAGTATGTCCCGTGAGTGGAGAAGGGGGCTTCGTGGCAGTACCACACTCCTCAAAGATCTGTCGCCAGCGGTAGCAGCTCCTCTGACTAACACCAAATGCTTCACAAATATCTTCCAATTCCCATCCATGGTCCCACAGTCGAAGTGCGCATTCCTTGAGATTGTTGCTGATTCTTCAGTTAACCATAGCATTTATGTAGCTAGCTGGTGTCGCTGACGTTGTCTGAAAAGTTTGTGAGCGTCCATGACGCATTGTTGTATCGATTTCCTTTTTGGTCAAGGAAGTGGTGAAATTTCTGCGATTGCCATTAATTTCGCACACTGCTGTAAAGACAGGGACTAGCGGCAGATATTCAAAGTTCTTGTGAGTCAATTTTTTCTGACTTCTTGATCAGGAGGTGGGCTATAGGTGTCACGCACCAGTCATATACGGCCTTTCGAAGACCATGTGCGTGATGAGCCGAACAAGTACTACATGAAGAAATCCAGTAAATTCTTGAAATGCTGGATTGCTTAATGAGCTGGAAGCGAAATGATCCTTGGCTTAAGACCAGTGTGACAGCCCAATGCTCAGGCTGATGCTAGACATATAAATATTTATGATGAGCTGCATGGTGGACCTAGTTAAGTTGTGTTATAAGGTACGCAGCCACTTACCTGCATTTATGATGACGTCGATGTACATGTTGTTGACGACTCAAGGAGAGAACACCAACTGCAGTTCTTGAGACTTTATTATGTAATATTCCTGACAGTTTCCTTTGATCACATCAAACTTGCTTTGAAACTTCTTGGAAGTACCTTTTAGGCAGGTCACGACTCTCCAGGACCATCATCAGATACACCGCTCGGTCACATTGCAGTGACACCCTCCGAGTCTGCCCACAGCACTCCTTGACCTGTTGCAGATATTCTCCCCATTTACTCCCTTCAAATTTCCTGGAAGTGGACTAAACTGCGCCAGGATAACCACAGTGAGCACCCAAGGCTGCACAATCTCTCCTTCTGTGTCCTCCCTCAGCCGCGCTTTCTTGCACTAGTACTAGTATGTTCATGTGATTTTGACAGGTTGTCATAAGCCAACCTGGATCTAAGTTAGATGTCATCCAGATTTCCACTGAAAGGTTCTAATATTGAGAATATCTTGGGACACTCTGGCCCAGGACAAGTGTGTCACAGACTGAGTACCTAGTAGGTCCCTGTCAGCCGCTCAGCTGACTCTGGTCGAACATTCATTAGTGATGGCATCGAGAAATGGAAGGGCAAATCTGGTATGCCTGATCCCTACAGTCGAATTCGATGTTAGGCGTAGCCCCTGTGCTCGAACATTATGATGTCATCATAGCCAAGGTGCTGATGCATCAAGCTAGACAAAGAAGATTAATATTATGGCAAGTACTGTGGGGGTACATGTGAAGACGGCCGGATCCATGATCATCAGGAGCGAACAGACTTGGAGCCTAGGTAATGCATGTGGGAGCAGAGTATGATGCATCATACGTAAGTACATTTGTTCACTTGAGAATGATGCTATCAATAGTCGTAGGTTCACAAAACTCTGCTACAATTTTCTTTTCGTTGCAGTACTGAATGCGTCCTACATCAAAGTTTTGAAAGTGCAGTGTACATTTGCCCATTGGCGAAGCCTAGAACTTTTAAAGAGTCTTACATAATAATCTACTAAATACTATATTTAGAAAGAATTTTCGGTAACTATAGAAGTTAGATCCAAACTTAGCTAGGTTTGTGCGGGAGGTTTTCCCTGATAGGCTAGTCCATTGAGCGTGATCTGATAGGCATTCTCAGGCCCTGCCAAAGTGGATTGCCTAGCCAAACCTGGTCAGCATGATGGGCCACTTTCAGGTATCTTGTACTCAGATAATTCAGATTTTTCCGACATATCGAGTCCTCACCACTTTCTCGGCTGAGGGTGCCGATGTGCTTCAAACACGCATACACCATACTGGGGGAAGCGCTATATCTACATATTATAACCATTTCGTACAATTCCAACTCTCGAAACTACCTCGACAAACCTTTCAAGCAACATGCCTATATTCACAGGCGAGACGCCTCAGCTCCACTCCAAACCGGAACATTGTAATGATGTTGGAAACCGTACTAATGAGGGTGAACCAGTGGGTCCTTGGCGATTATGCAGAAGTACTAGTACACCAGTTTATAACGACAGACAACAGCGACAACGATAGCGAATGAACGAAAGAACTCGAAGGTATTACAAACTCAATTATTCTAGCAGGCTCCCGCGACATACGGCGCAGTAGCCGCTCTCAAAGATTTGAGATGCTTGTTGAATTTATCCCACCTCTTATCTATGCTTAGAACTTGGTCGACACAAGGGAGCCAGCCGGAAATGATGCGAGCGAGAGTTTCTGCATCTGCTATTTCAGTCTCCGATGTCTCCAATTCCAATGATCGTAGGGAGGTATGTTGTATTGGCTCGGAATCAGGATCAACGTCGATAGCTGCAATATTGATCGGAACTCGTAGTGTATGCAATTGTGGACACAGACTGACCGCTGCGAATAATCCACGGAGGGAGACTTCGGAAGAAGAAAGATGGTCATCTAAGTAGTTGATTTCCAGAGTGCGGATGTGCGGCCAACTAGACATAGCTTGCAAGAGCATGTTATTGTCTAGGTAGATGGAGGAATGAGAAAACTTGAGCTGCAGGGTTCGGAGCTGTGTAAAGCAAAGGAAATGCGGAATTGGTGTCAAAAACTCGTGGTTTTGGGGTCCCACGAATCTGACTTCAAGAGAAGATATGAAGATTTCTTCTAGAGTCCGACACGCATTGCAGTGGGACAGAGCATGAAAGAGTTGCTCGGCCTCTTCTGAAGACAGATAGTTGGCTTCAAACTCGAACTCTTTCAGCGAGGGAAATTGCGAGTGTTGCATGACTGTGATGATGTCTGCAGCATTGCACACATGTAGAAAGGAAAGGCTCGTGATGTTAAGGAATGATAAATTCACAATATCTTGGTTTGACAGCGAAGAAGGGTCATAATACCCTTGATCAATTCCCAATGTGAGAAGGGTAGGGAGGTGGGAGAGATGTTTCCATGTTGCCCAGTCGACCATTGGACAAGACAGAGTTACAAGCCGCGTGCACCAATGAATCCTATCTGATAGCAGGGACAGTTCATTTGCTGTGCTGTCATCATCGTACATTAGAGGAGTGTAGATGCATAAATGCTCCAGAGCAATGCAACGTGTCACAAAAGATTGCAGACCTTCGTCGATGCTCAATAGATGACATCGGTGCAGCATGTGAGGCAGAAAGAGGTTCAAATATGTGGTGGAAAAACTTAATGACTTCAGCCTCGGAAATACGCATGCCTCGGCGGGGATGACAGATAGAAGGTGTGGATGATCAGATTGTATGTCCAATGTGCGTATACGGGAGGAGTGACGCAGAAATTGACGGGCCTCTGGGCAGATAATGGCTCAACACCTTTCGCCCAGGGCTCGTCCGAGTCTTTCCACTATTATGTAGATGCTCAGTGAGCCGAAAAGAAACGAACAAAGCATAATGGAGTCGTGCACTGACCCTTGTGCCACTATGATATATCAGTGGATGTAGCCTTGCTACACAACCTAGCAGTGGTTCTAACCCATGGATTTCAGTCCACAGCAAATCCATCGCAGGCTCGTGGAAGATTTTGCATGTCCTTGCAAGTGCTGCAAGTAGTAATTTCTGGGTCGATGTTGTTTGAGTAGATGGTATTGTGTTCACATAGGCGAATATCTCCAGGAGGACTTCGGGAATAAGTAAAGCTTGATGCATCACTGGGGTAACGGTAGAGTCAAGACTCAAAACAAGGTTTTATGTAAATCTAAAAACATTGCCTGGGCCCTGCCGCTGCGTGGGACCAATATCTATATCCGATATACGACACCGCCACTTGGGAGCAGATCGCTATCCTTGAAACAAAGCATGTCACCACCATCTCCTTGTCTCAGAACAACCGCCTCCTTGCAAGTGCATCTTATGATAAAACAGCGCGTCTATGGAATCTTGACACCAACTTCCCAGTTGGACCACCCCTCCAGCATGAAAACGTTTTGTGGTCCGTAGCTCTTTCCCCTGATGCAGAGGTGCTAGTTACTGCCGAGGACGCGACCGCGTACACTTGGGACGTTCACGCCATCCTCAAAGAAGCTGGCCTTGAGGACCTACTTTCCATTGGTTCCAATATTGTCATGGTAAGTGTCAACATATCCATATCACCCGCTCTCTCTGACAATGTCTGTTGTTAGGCACCAGAGGAGAGACGGGAACAGGAACAGACGGCACCTCAAGATGATGATTCAGGAATACAGCATACACCCCGCTCTTCGCTCAGTGACAGGTCATTTTTGGAAGTACGTGCCGAGTTTGCAATCTTTCTCATTCATTATAACAGTAATATTCTAGCTTGATGATACGCGATGTCCTGGCCAATTTGACGATATAGATGAACTACTGCCAGTGTTTTTTCACGGCATGGAAGCCCCTCAGCCCTCCCCAATGGATAGTTTACACCCACATTCCTCTGCAAATGCATTCATCGCTCGCCTTCTCTCGCTCCTCCGCCGCTTTCTACCCGTCAATGATGAAACGACTGAACTTCCGCAACCTTCACGGCCTTTGGCGGTCCATCTACGCACACTCCTCACTCGTCTGTCCTTACTCATTCACCGCTTTTCACCTGAAAGTGATGCACCAAATAAACTTCAGCAACCCTCCACGTCTTCCCGGTTAGATCCACACGTGTTCCTGGTTCGCCTTTCCTCACTTTTCCCCCGATCTCAACTCAATACCGACGAAGAAGTCGAACATCGTCCAACAATGCCTTCGAGTTCATCTCCAGATGGAAGGTTCATCAGCCGGCTATCCTCATTCTTCCCCTCTCAACCCCACACCAACGAAGAAGCCGAACATCATCCCACAGTGGCTTCAAGTTCACGTCCAGATGTGAGGCTCATCAGCCGGCTATCCTCGCTCTCTTCCACTCTCAAGCCCACACCAACGGAGAAGCCGAACATCATCCCACAATGGCTTCGAGTTCACGTCTAGGTGCGAGGCTCGTCAACCGGCTGTCTTCACTCTTCCGCTCTCAACGCTACACCAATGAACAAACAGAACTTTCGCAACGCCCAAGTCGTCCTCGTATTGTCGACGTGGCTGCAGTGCGGGACAAGCAGGTATGGCTCTCCTTGGTGCATTTACAATCGCTGTGGTTTAGTGATCTCCGTTCAGAGTTTGGTTGTTGCTCGGGGGCGAAATTTTAAGAAAGCAAAACGAGCATATGAGCAACGAAACAAATTGCATGCCCAAGCTCAGGCGTCGTCATCGGGCACTCAGCCTGCCCATGCTTCAACATTAGCGACGTCTCCTGTTCCAGGTACTAACACTACCACAATAAGTGCAGCAACCTCACAGTCACTACCCATCCCATGGTGGCGTCAGATCGTGCTATTTCTCTGCTGTGCATTTCCACCACATGCCAATAGTCATTGATACAATTAACGTTGCAGCATTTGGACAACCACTTCATCTTTGCTTCTAGTGATTCCGCACCTATGTTTCTTTTCTTATGTCTTTCAATATACGATCAATCTCGTTTCCTCGTCATGAGCCTCGTGCAACGCACCAGGCAGGATAATACAAATTTTATGAGGGAAGGACGGTGTACTTTTTGTCGATAGCCGTGAAAATGAGGATGTCTGACCACTCTGCCCAAGTGTGATGCACCGAAAACCTTGCCGTCTCAACAGTTCTCGATGGGTATCGTATATCCTGCCCAAAAAAGCTTAACAGCTCTTCAAACGGGTCGCTGTTAGACTAGGCTGCAGTGTGGTAGCTTGAAGTCCCAGTGCTACACGATTGCACACTGCGTTATTGGTAGTGGTAAGTATGAATACCTATAAGATGATCATGATGAAACTTGTTTATTGTCCACTTTCGTTAACGTTTGTTATCGCGCACGCACATGCATTGATCTACGGAAACACGTACTGTACAATATGATATATGATACACCGACGGAATGGCGATCTCGACTCCACAACCTGAATAAATTCAATAGACACCCTCGACATTGAGAGCGGGTTTCTCTTTCTCTCCCGCATGAACCTTCTTTGCGACAATGCCCTTATAAGCCATTTGAAAGTCGAATTGCATGTCTTTCATGCTTCCGGGAACCCCCTTCATGAATTCATAGACCTCGAGAACTCCAGATCTGAGTGCATCAATGTCACGGGCACGATGAGCGGATGAGGAAGGTTCTAGCTGCTTGCGTAATCTCATTCCCCTCTTGAGGAGCGCTCTGTAAACAGGACGGCGTTAGCTATCGTATGTTGCCGAGTAAGTGAGGGACGGACGTTATCTCGCTTCTCTGCTGGCCCAACTCCTCAAGCTTTTCATGAGACTCCTTGTTGAAAAGGACTTTTGTCTTCGCTTTGGCAGCGTGAGTCAGAGCAATGCCTCGTCCCAAGCACACCAGGAGGTGAGGCAATGGTCCAAGGAAAAGGAAGGTATAATAACCTGAACGCCATTCAGAGGACTGCGTCTCCTTCAGGCATGTCATGAACATCGCATCAATTTCGGCGTTAACTGCACGACTCGAGCGGCGTCTGATGTAACGGCGGTATGCGTTCTGAATGTAGCGAGCCGCCTCTTCCTCCATCACCGATGGTCCGTTGGTGCGTAGCGACTCGTCAAGATCAGGTGCGAGCAACGTCGCCGCCACATCCCAAGTCTCCGACGCATCACGGGTCTCTGTATCAGCATTCGCCGTGACATCCTCTTCCCCTTCTTCTTCTCCTTCGAAATCTTGAGGTTGCGGTTCCTTTATCTCTTTCTCATCATACTGCATAACCTCTGGTTGGTCTTTGGAATGTCCTAAGCAACGTACGGGGGCAGGGGCCTCTGCTCTCAGGGTAGACTGCGTGGTCACTGCACACGATGAAAGGAGATGGGGGATCTCCATGGTCTTCTCGTATACGAGCCGTCGGCCTATACTAGTATAGACTCGGGTATGATGGTTCATCGTTTTGTGGACAAGATGCACCAGGTTGTCTACTCCTTTATCGAAAGCCAGGAGAGCTCGCAGGTAACCGTCGGAGGGTGGTGCCCATCCTAGCAAGGGTGTCGTCGTGTACCTGACCACGTCATTCACATGTTTCCGATAGTTAGCTGGACGCCAATTCGAAGGAGAATTGTTTTTGTGCAGAGAAAGAATGATCTTGTCTATTGTGTTCCTCAAGAAGCGATTACTGATGTTATGGGCAACTAATGAACACAATTCAGCAACGAATAGGTTTTGAAAAGAGACAGTAAACGTACTAAGGCAGAGAGACCTGCAGCTGTGATACATATAATTAGTATGCACATCGCCGATGGACAGATATTGAACTGAGCTCACATCCGGGAAATGAGAAAATTGCGGAGAATGGGCGTAAATCTCGTATGGTTCAGCCAAAGAAAATCTGCCTAATTGTAGTCTCGGATCTCCGAAAAGTCGGGAGACTCACCAGTGCCTGCTTCTACGCGCAATGCTTCGACTAGCCTCGCTATCTCATCCAGAAGCTTGTTCATCAAAAGCAGGTTGGTTTTTTTCTCCGCAGTGAATTTGTGGGGAAACAGTAGCCAATTACATGGAAGGACGACGTTATGAAGGGGAATCTCATTCAAGTCTGGGTCCATTCGATAGTTGATTACAAAAGCGCTGCAGATGTCCTCGATACAGTCGCACAACACCGAGAGGTTGACATATAAACGATTATCGAGGACATGTCTGAATTGCACTTAGTTCATTGCATGTAGAGACAAGAAGAACACGCTTACAGAATATACAGAATACCCGATGAGATGCTGCTGCGGGTCGCTCCTTGGTAAGAATTGAACAGGTCATGAGCCATATAGCGTTTGTCCCACTTGCGAACGAGTTCGAACGGTCCGGAGATTGTACACTTTGCTCGAGAGATGTAGACAGGTGTGTCGTCCCTGTCAAAAGCAAAACTAAGACTGGTGATTCCCATCAACACCGTCAAAAATTCAGCCTGAGTATGGGATGGGTCGAGCGAGTAGAAGGATTCACGGATCCAGAGCTTCCCCACTTTCATGCCATCTCGACGAAGAGGCATCAGGTTCATGTCGAGGTCCGCAGGGGAACCTTGAATGAAGAAGGGTGGATTGTTAACCTCGTAAAGATGCTTGAGCCAATTCCGCATGCTGATAAAGTGATCAGTATGAGTACTCGATCATAAGCTACCTCCAGGCGTACCTTTTGCGTCGCTCAATGTATGGGTGAGCGGAATACATGAATTGCAAGATCAGGATCTGCCAGATGTGGATGGCAACACGGTTGTTGTAATGCTGGCGATCCAATCTCGATACTGCAACATGCTCTTGGGGACAGTTATCTCTTCGACATACTCCGGATATCAAGAATTGCAGGCATTGCGAGAAAACGGGAGATTTGCAACACATAACATCGATCTCCGATATTTTGTCTTTCAAGATCTTTCGAATGGATTGTTGTAGCAGCTGGGTGACGACTCTACGAGAAGCTGTGTACCCGGACGAGTGTTCCGATACCCAAGTGATCCCCTGGCGATCTTCCATTAAGTTGTTGTGGAGGAACGTTCCATCTGGTATGAGAAACTGGTCACCGGATAACCGCACGATGGAGAATAGTCTCTGAATACCCCTATGCCCCATGGGGTCAGGGAAGGTCAAAGTCAGATAGAGCAGTCGCGCATAGGCGTGAAATTGTTGAAGGAACTGTTGCATCTCATCTACCGTGAAAGCTTGAATATCTGTGGTCCGAGAGAATATATGGTCCAGGCAAATGAGAGCTGCTGCCTTGTTATTCTGTTTATCAAAGTTAAGCGCAAGATTTCTCAACGGCTCATGATTTCCGCGCAAGATGTTTTGAAACATCGATATCTGGATGTCGATCAGTCCAGCGGTTACTCTGAGACTGCTAATACGTACTAGATCACGCGTGGCCACCGTTAGTTTGTCCGTCTCTAGCTGGTCGGCAAGAACGATGAAATGCTGCATTTGCTCATCAGCAACGGATTGTGCAGTGGTTCTGAAGGAGCATTTGCGCCAGAAGTATTCCAATATAGTATCGGCCGCACGGATAGTAGAATCGTCCTTGCTGTCGTCCTTGATGAATGCCCGGACAGCTTCCAATGGCCTATTCTCTGACAAGTGAAGCTCTGCGGCCTCATAGTACCTCGAGTGAGATTCAAGCAGTGAGGCACGAGCGTAATCGAGATCATAGTCCTCCATAAATTCGAGTTCCTCCTCAAATGTCGAGAAGAGGGGTAAGGGGCGCCTACGCAATTGCTATTAAATAAAAACATTGTGGAGAGTGTAAGACTTACCGAGTTGTCCTGCTGCAGTAAAACAGTCTGCACACAGTCCATAACTCCGCCGTGGTCTCTTCAGGTATATCCGCGCCATGGTCATTGAGGACATGAAGGGTCTTGTCAAACCGTCCAGCCTTGCGATACCTCTTCGCCGCTTGCTCGAACTCTTGAGCACTGAGATAGGCCTCGGCAGCTTTAAGATCATCTCCTGCTCGAACGTAGCAATCCGCCGAGTTACGATAGTATTGGAGCTTCAGATTTCCTGTCGCAGTCGCCCCACAATGAGTAAAGGCATCGGCAGCCATGTTAAAAGCTCTTTTTTGGTTGCTGAGTAAAGCCACTCCAACACTAGAACGTGCAGCTTCTCGGAGTTGATATGCTTCACAGACCTTCACTTCACGACGAAGGTTGGCACGTTCAAAGCAGTGGATAGCCTGCGAGTAGCGCTTGTGCGAGAATAGTGAGCGCCCGAAGGACGCCCATTCTTCTGGAGTCGAGGAGACTGCTAGATGAGGGACATCGGTGCCGGGGGTACAATTCTGGACCTGATTGCGAGACGTCCAGAATATCTGAAGAGAAAGGTTATCAGATCGAGTTACACCAACACGTTGCTCTAAACGTACACGCATCGGCTCTGATCTGTCAGATTTGTCAACGATCCATATGTTCTTCCTTGCTCGTGTGATTCCCACATAAAGAATTTTGAGCTAATAAAGTAAGCCAGAGTTTATTTCGAGGATCGGTGTGCCCACCTCGCTGCAAACCCCAGCGTATCGCGCTTCGTCTCGATCGAAGTTCGGTGCATATCTTTCACCGTCTACCCCATTGAGAACCACACGCCATCGTGACAGATCTACAGCAGAATCCTCGAAAAAGTTGTACAAAAGCACCTGACCGAAGTCAGACATCCATCAGATAGCAAACTTAGCTTTCTCACATCATTGAATTCCAGGCCTTTGCTC